CTCATTTCCAGCAACTTGCGACATCTCATCTCATCCTCAAAGATAAGTGTTTTTTTTAATCTTTATGAGTTGACCATGTTATGTCTTTATTTTTGGTAACTTAAGACACTGATAATTAACAACTATCATATCACTTATTGCTTATTGTCCGTATCCTACGCATGCGCAACTCACGAGCATTGAATGAAAACTAGTTCCATTAATTGCCTATAAGTTATACATAACTTGATAATATCTTTGGATTAATCTTGATCTGATCTTCATCATATATTTTGCGAGGCAGAGTCATTTGCGAGGAACATATGTGACCTGTTCGGATCAATCTCTTGACGTTGTGTCACCAATGACAAGCTCAGATTCTGATCCTCACGAAGAGCTTACCACTAGCGGTACGAGCTCTAGACAGACCTGCTACAAACGTGATTCTCGTCAACGTCAACCAGGGACGCACCACAGGTTACTGGTTGCTGACTTAGCACACCACGATCTCAGCAATAGCTCATCACTCGGATTGCTCGGAAGTCTTGAGCATGACGTGATACCAATAAGACATGTCTACCTATGGCGATTTGATTGTGACGGTTAGTTATGGTGGTACGTTCATGAAGATGTCCATGGCGATTTGTTCTTGGCATTTGATCGATTGATGCTTCATCTATGGCGACTTACTTTGGTGGTTCAGAACACTGACCTCATAGATCTTTCCCGCAATCACCCCGAAGTAAGAAGTCTAATCGGAATCAGAAGTATGCCAACGACATCTCGCCCGGGACATTCCGTCTATTAAACTTCATTTATGACAGCCTCACCATAACAGTTCGCTCATGACGGTGCGTCTACGGTATGAGTGTGTGTCTAGTTCATTGTCTAATAAACCATATTCGTAAACTTCACAGAAATCGATTTTTTCTCTCATAAACTTGGGGGACTTACTGTTTGAGATGGATTTACATTCTCCACAAGGCCTATTAAACAATGAATAAAGCTCATATTATTAGGAAACACTAGTTTTCTTTTTCTTATAAATAAGGAGGTAACCCTTCTTGTGAGGAATTATTCTCCTCTTTTAGATCAAGAACACTTCTAAGAGAGATTAAATAGATTAACTTTACATATCTAATTTTTATATTTGAATTCAACAAACACACTGTTTTCGGTTCAAACAATTTTCAATCTTCTTTTATGGGTTTCTCAATCAAGAGATGATGCCGAGTCCAACTGCTTCAACGAAATCAATATGAAAAGTCAAGATCAATTTCGATTTCAAATACAAACTGTAAGCAATTCTATACAGACAAGTTAAATAAGTTTCTTTCTAAAAGTTTAAACTTATTTAAACAAGAAAAACAATAATATCGACATAGATATCGATCGGATTCGGATCAAGAAGAATAAAGAAAGAATAAGAATCTGTGATTGCTGGAAATATTTGATGGAGACGAATGGAGAGAGTCTAGATGATTTATAGTGACTATTTGCATTGATTATTGGGTTTGAATCGAGGAAGCTTTAAGAACTAGGGTTCTAACGCCGAAGAGAAGAGGAAAAGACGAGATGGAATTGAGGAGTCGACATATGTATATGTGCTTTCATTAAACTCGGTTTTGTCCGTTTTTTTTTATTTGGATAACGATTTAAAACCGATCCAGACCGACCTCCGATATATTGACATTACAAAATTCAATAGTTTTTTTTCTTATAACTGTTACAGATCCAAAACTGGTTATTCGGTTCGGTTAGATGTTCAAGTTATTACGCCCAGGGATAGGTTTATATATGGTCTCACAGATTCAGGTTATCATGCATTTTTTACTTTTAGAACAAAAGCTCTCACAGAAATTTCTTGATTGTAATACTTCCCAATATGTTCGTTTTTGATCGGTTTGGCAGTCAAGGACATGTCCAAGTTCAACCAAGAGCAATCTCGGTACCGAACAATTTGAAGAGTTTTCAAGGAAAAGTACTGAGGACAGTGTTTGTGTTTACCAATTGACAAAGAAAATATCAAATTTGGAAACTAGCCAAGTTCTGCTCAAATAATTAATAAATAACAAAACGAAAATAATCTTTTGTATACACCATATCCATCTTATTCTGTAATGTGAAATTCACAACCTCAACTGTGCAACTTCACATCAGGATTTCTTATAGATTTTAGCCACATATCCGCCATAACTCTAGACGACAAGCTCCACAACAATTCATCATCTTCTTCTTCTTTCTCCTTCCTCTTAACATTACTCTTCTTCTTACCTTTCTTACCCATTCCATACTCCACAAGCCACTGCGCCGCAGTCAACGTTCGTTTCTCCGCCCCATTGCTCTTCACTCCCCCAACGTGCAAGCTTCCCACTTTTAGCCCATTCTCCTGATCTTCAGCCTGCACCACTACGACAACTGTCCCTCCCACAGCCTCATATCTCCTCGTCGGGTCCCGGAGCTGCACTGTGGCAAGTACCGTCAACATTTTCTGCTTGCGATTCTCCTTGAGCCACTCGTCGAGCGGGATGGTGGACTCAAGTGGATTTGGCTGGCCTTTGGCAGCTGAAACCTCAAAAGGGGCATCATCCTCCACCATTTCAGCTTGAATCTTTAGTCCTTCAATCACCATTTCTTCAAGTTTCTGTAAAGAAACAGCTAAAACCTCCTCTGCTGAAGTCAATGGATTCTCCTCCACGTTCCAGATTCCTGTCATTATCCGCTCTCTTCTTCCGCTGTTCATAGCGTTAGCCATCGTTTTAACAGCTGCAACAGTTCGTGCTGCGCTTGTGTTTGCTCGCTCTTTGTTCCTCCCATGTATAATCGCCGACGCTATACCTTCGAAAGCCACCTGTTCCCCTGTTTTACCCATAAGCTCGTCTATCGCCATAAGCGAAGAAATCTTTGAGTCAAGTTCCTTCCCGGAACCAGCCATTCTGTGAAACAATTCGAATCCAGCCGCTGATCCGGCTTCTGGTAGTACCACAATCTGTTTCGAGATTTGCATCACGAGCTTAGGAGGGTCCTTCCTCATCACCACCGTGTCAAAAGGGTTCATAGAGACTAAGTATCCGCCGTCCCTTGTCTGAACAACACAACCGATACCTTTCCCAAGATCTGAGAGGTAATTCTCAGATTCTTCGTCTACTGATTCACCAGATCGCAGCTCGGAGATGTCCATTTTGTGCTGGTAGAATTTGAGATTCTCGGATTCTTCATCCTCAAGTAACTGAAGGAACTCTTTTGTCACAGTCTGCTCCTCTTCATCAAGCCTTGGTGACTCTGTCTCACCTTCCGCTCCGTTACTATCATCTTTCATCATGGATTCAAGTGCTTTGATCTGCTTTGCGATAGAGTCTAACTCAGAAAGCCTCATTATGTGCCGTGGATCATCAACATTAACATGCTGTTCCTTGATCTCAACGGATCTTTCACCTATGGTTCCATCGGATTTCTCAGTTTCCATATCGTCATCAAACTCGACTCCTTTGTCTACAACTTCAAAATCAGGTTCCTGATCTTCTCCTTTGTCAACAACCTCAAAATCAGGTTCTTGGTCATCTTCTACTCTCTGTTCTGGTGGAGCTGGTTGCTCCTCTGGTTCATCCAGGTTTAGATGCTCAATCCTTTGAAGATCAGATGCAGACTCCACGCCACTAGCTGGCGTCCATGCCTCGCTCCGGCTCGTAATCTTTGGGCTCGGGACACTAAACGATGTTTTCGATTGCTTTCGTCCAAAGGAACCGGAGAAATTCTTTGGTTTGCTGCTCGGTTTTATCCCTAATTCACCTTGTTTACTGTAAATTCCAGCTCCGCCATCTTTCTCCATTATCTGGAACCCTAATTTTAGAACCAGTTCACCGCCTTTGGCTTTACCTGAAAGCCCCCAACTCATATCCCATTGCCTAACCCTAGCTCCTTCATAACTCATCTTCTCCACAGACTCCTGGATTAAATCGCTCAAATCCACCATGTGTCTTCCAAACTCAAGCTCCTTAGCATCCACGGCGAAAAGATAAACCAAAAACGGCCGAGCCTCAAACTTCGCCGGAGCACCTTTCCCGTTAGCCGGCGAGTAGTACACGTGGCACTTGATGAACAGCGTCTCCTCGAAATCAGCAGATCCTTGAGAAACCCGACACGGCATCGTCTGGACAGCGCCATCTTTGGTTTCCTTCTTCCTCACGCAAACCCCAAGTCGGAGACCGTTCATCGACGCCGGTAGATTCTGGGCCGCCACGACCTCGACGGATAACAAACAGCTCAGCTTCTGCATTCCGATTCGGGCCAGCCCACGAATGGGTTTCCAGTTCCATATCCCTTTTCTCTCTTCCTTGGCTTTGGATCCCAGTGAAGACTCTTCTGGTGTCTTGATGCTTATGTTCTGAGTCATATTCTCTTCCTCCTCCACCTCAAGCTTGGGTCTCGACGACCGCCATGGAGACAGAGACAAACGCCGAGACCGTGGTTTTGGTACTGTCACATCCTCAGCAGAGGTCACGAGGGACGGAACGGAACTGCGAGGGAGAGCGAGAGAATTAGTTCTGCGACCAACTGGAGCCTGAGGTTTCTGGTAAAGATTTTCACTTAGGGCTTCCAGTTCAGCGAGAAGCTGTGTGTTGGAACTTCGGCTACCGGAATATTCAGCCGCCATGAATTTGTGTGTTTTTTTTTTTGTTCTCTCTGGACTAAGAAGGAGAAGCAGCAGGACGAGGGTTTAATTGGGGAAATGAAATCAATAATCTTTATTTGTTTGTTTTATTTTTGTGTATGTGGTGGCGATTATTGATAGGTTTTTCATTATTGCTATCGTCTGAAGGGATTGGATGAGGTTTGAGAATGTCGTGGCCTTGTGCCTGAGCTCTCATACACTGAAGGAGACAACAACTGGTCCCTTATCATTTAATTATACGGTACGTTTCAGATCGTTAGCCATAAGCTGGTGTGTGGTTGTTAAGAGTTTGTCAGACGATGTTGCTACTCATTTACTTTTACCGTATTGAACTTGGTACAGCTACTCTAAAAAATTTAATACTGCGTTAAATGCGCTCTCCATAAACAAAGTCACAGCACTTGTTTTGAAGAACTCCTCCTCCTAAGATTAAAAGATTACAGAATCAGGGAATACAGAACTTGGATTCACTTTTGAAAATATAAACGGTTTTTGATGCCTTGAAGAATATCTGAAACTAAATTTTCAATCTAATGGATTAACCGAATTGAAGCTTCTTTCTCTGTCAAATCGTCGTGAATGTCTCGATCCTGAAGTATCATTCATTGATCCATCAATCTTTCTCTTCTTGCTTCCCGCCTTGGACACGTCTTCTTTCTCATCCATGAGCGACAAGAATCTCTGAAGACGAGTAGACCGCAAGGACGAGGAGTCATGATTCTCTCTCCCAATAGCATCTTCGTCTTCCTCTCTTGGCTTCCCATTATAGAACTGACGGAGGATCTGAATAAAGTAGAGAAAGAGAGCGAGGACACATGCAACTCCACATATGAGAAACAGTCCCCAGAAGCTTTTCAGATGAAGCCTGTCTGATTCAAGTTCTGCGTTCTCTAGAGTGCATGCGTTCTTCATCAGCCACTTATCATGGATCCTCTGCAGATCCCCGTTCTCTGCCAACTCCAAGATCGCTGTTGACAGATCTATTGCTAGAGGAGAGTCTCTAGGAAATGCCTAAGTAAAAGAAACATTTGTGATTTGTAATGACTGAATGGGTAATATATACTTTTAGCAAACCAGATATGCAATTTTTGGAGCACTTACGAATCCCCAGCCACTTTTGGTGAACTCCTGACCAACAATTCTATAAGCGCAATTGCTGGAAAGGAAGAGTTCAACATAAGGGCGCTCGTCCACAATTGCAGCAACGCCTCCTTTTCTTGGTCCATCTTTTAAAGCTTTGGCATACGCTTCAGGTGAACCAAGGGGGACGAGCCTTGACTCTGATATGTTAAGCTCATCCCTCAGATAATGTTCTGCAAACGAACCCACCTGGTATCCAATCCTATCATCCATTTCTCTAAGGCTGTCAATTCCCTTGATTGGTGACGAGAGCTGCTGAACCGTCAGAATTGATGTGAGACTAGCCGTGTAGCTTGAGTTGATTATTAGTACAACAAATAGCCATATGATCAGTACCAACCGCCCAAGTGTACTGACTGTATTCTCTCCTGCATAGACCAAAGGAAAGGAGGCTTGTGTCAGTCAAAGCAAGCAAAATCATCAGTGAGATAGTAAGTTTCCTTTTCTTTGCTTCACGTACTATGGGCGAAAAACATGGTCGAGAAGCTAAACCTGCAGATATCAAACAAACAAACAAACAAACAGTTAGTGGGCCGGATCATCCAATTAGGAACACACATGACCTAGTAAGATATATCAGACATGAAATTTCAATGAATATAGGAAAAAAAAATAAAAAAAAAAGACTGACCAGAGAATTGTGACGCATTGCCTCTTTGGCGGGCCTCTGAATTCGTCGTTAATCCTATGCTCCAAGATCCAAACAACAATGCCGACAAAGAGAAAGCAACAAGCCGTGACTGCCCACATAAGTCGATTGAAAGGTCGGAGGAAAGCCCACGCTCCTGAATTCAGTTTCTTAAAGGGAGCAACAACAACTAATCCAGATGCTGCATACGGTTGTGTAAAGTCTACAATCTTAGTCCGGTTTGTTACGATGGCAACATCACCCACTACCCCATCAAAATTCTGCAGTAATTCCACAGTAAGCAGAAATAATATAACAGAAAATAAAAACAGCTTTTATTAGGAAAAGGATTTTGACTAGGGAACTCACACCACTTGTTATCATCTCAACCATATGAGTGTAGCTTGGATTTTCCTTTCCGTTTCCATAAGGAACAAATTTGACAGGGACTGCGTATGGTAAGAGATTCACTGCAGCTGTGAAGACATCAATGCAGAATCCTTTGAACATATTCTCCGTTCCACGAATCTGCGAGACAAACTCCTTGTAACTTACGCGACGAGGCACACCGATCTTAAGCTCTTTCCCATTGTTTGAAAAAGCCCATCCGCGTGGCTTTTGAAACGCTTCTCCAGGCCAAATCACATGTCTTAGTTTCGGTCTTGCTGACATATTTGGTTGCGTAATTGTGTAGTGTGACTCAGGTGGCACAACTGATAAACCAGAATGATTCGACCAGTAGCCTATTTGGCGAACACCGGTTCCTGCTACATTGATAATATCATAAGCTGGTCGAATCCTAGACCTATCCGTAGTGAATTGAAGCTGTCCTGTCAAACCAACCATATGTGTTCCCAGGATATCCTTAAGCAGAGTCTCTCCACCATCAAAGACGGTCATCGCCTCTAAATTGAGACTCCCGCTTTTTCCCAAAGCATCAAGCATTGAGTCATTAGAAAACGATATTTTCCCACCGTGCTTGAAGTACTTATCCAAAGCACGAGCTAAGAGCATAACTGAATCATAGGCATAGAGACCATAGGTGTGAAGAGCCAGAGGAGCATCAGGAATCTTACGCCACCTCAAGAAAAACTCCCGTTTTAAATTGGAATCAGGTGTGTGCGGACGCAGAACAAGAGCACCTTGAATACTCTCAAGTCTCTCAGAGGGAAGCGGAGACGAAGAATCAAGAGTAGTAGACAGCCAATCCGTAGCGATCCAAACGTACCCATTACCCATCATTCCAAGATACTTAGCCTCCTTGAAAACCGCGAAACCCAACTCCGAGTAGACATGAATCACAATGATCCTTGGCTGAAGCAACATGATCTTGATGAGAATGTTCATGATCTCATTCTTATTCACCGCAGTGTCCGGATGTAAACCCGCCTTGTAAGTGATTCTCAACCTCCTGCTCGCAAGCTTATCGTTAAGTGCAGCAACACCATTCCTTCCGTAATCATCATCCACAAACACAGCAATTACTTCTTTCCAACCGTAGAAGTCTACAATCGAAGCAATAGCTTCCATTTGGTACAAATCGCTCTGACTCGTCCTAATGAAATAAGGGAACTGGAGTGGCGACATTACAGGATCTGTAACAGCAAATGAGAGAAGAGGCACGCGTAGCTCGTTCGCCATGTGAGATATCATGTGAGCAACTACAGAACATTGTGGTCCTATGATTCCAACTATGTCTTTCTCCATAAACCTCAATGCTATGACAAAACAACAACAAACAAAAATTCATATTACCAAACAAAATAAAACATTCTTCCCCTCAGGCAAAATGGACCTCACCTTCAACCATGCCCATAAAACCGCTGCAGTTTGAGTTCTGCATTGAAACTTGAAGACGTGTCCCTACGAGGATGTCCGGGTTTGAATTCACATCTTTCACTGCCTCCTCAATCGCAATCTTGGCAACTTTGCCAATCACTGAGTCGAAACTGAATATTGAACCGATTTTGACATGTTCTGGTTTCTCAGAATGTCCATTTCCCAAAAATCCAAGACAAAGACAAGACAATAACAAGAAAGACCAAAGTAGCTTCATCTCTACTACAAAGACAGAAGATAAAACAAAGAAAGATGTTGACTTTCTGGAAATTAATATTTACCCATCAATCTGACGATGATTGTGATCAAAGAAAACCCACAAGTTAATTGAATCGAACGGATGAACTAGTGAGTTATACCTTTGATCTTTTTTTTTTTTTTTTTTTGCTTATGACTATGAAAGGCAAACTATAACAAAATATGAATATCCACAGAGAGAGAGAAGAATTGAAGAAGGAGAAGAAAGAGGCAACAACAAAGTGACGGAATCAGATTCGCTGATGAATTGGGATTACTCCCAACCTCATATTCTTTAAAGAAGTGAGAAAATACAGTCATTCACGTGTCTCTTTGCTTCTCTTTTTCATTTCTTTCTACTGATTTCAGACAAGTTTGACAAAAACAAACAAATACAAAGTGGTGATACAATAACAGAAAATTATTAGAATAATATAGAAAAGTTGTTATAGGAATAGAATAATATACATCTTTTGTAAATTATTAATAAATTACAATAAAGATCATTGGTTAGTTTTTCTTTAACTGAGATTATTTATAATTAAAATTATTAACAAATTTATGTCACTAATCCATGATACTAATAACTCTGATCTTAATCAACATACGTTTAAAACATTTTCTCTAAAACCGTCTCTAAGTAATCTTTCGAATAGTCTTCTCTAGTATTTATCAACGCTTTATTGAAATTTTCAAATTTATGGCTAAGTTTTATTTATGTTGCGCCTAAATTAGTTTTTAGTTGCGGCTAATTTATATATGTAGTTGCGGCTGAGTTACTTTATGCCAATTTCCAAAAACGTAGCTGTAAACAATTTGCATTTCGAGGAGAAAATGTAAATACAATCCAAAAAACACACAAGTTAATAATTGTGGGATGTATTCATTGAAGTTTGTCGAACGTATGATGTACAATGCTTACTTTGTTGGAAAAAATAAGATTCTCGGTGGTGGGTTATGATATATATTGGTTATTTGTTGAAGGGCCACATGATTAAAAGAAGAGGTGACTGATGTATGTCTCTCACTCTCTTTCAGATTTTGTATTGTTTATGATTTGATACCCAGATTTGGATAATCGAATTTTTTTCTCAGAGTTGAGTGACAGAGAAGCTAGACGAGAAGAGAAAGGAGGAGACTGAGAGAATTGACGGATTCAATAGAGACGATGCAGAGAAGTTCAATGAAACTTGGAGACATGGAAAAGTTATCACTGGAGTGGTGCAACAAACCTGTATTTTCTCACTACAAGAAAACAAAGCATTTACTAGGAAATTTTACTAGGAAAATTCTTCCTCGTAAATTTACTAAGCCTTTACTAGGATCTTACGAGGAAAGCAAATTTCCTCGTAAGCTCCTCGAAAACTTACGAGAAAACAATTTCCTCGTAAGACCTTAGTAAATTTACGAGGAGCTTACGAGGAAAAAGTACTTTTCCTCGTAATGCCGTAGTAAACACTTTCCTCGTAAAGGCGTAGTAAAATATTACTACGAAATTAGGAGGAAATAGTTGCTTACTACGAAATTAGGAGGAAATAGATAGGAAATATCGAATTTAAATAAAACACATGTT